GCCAGTTTGGTATAGTGGTTAGGAGCATGGACTAATCTGGGAGAACCGTGTTTGATTCCCCACTCCTCCACATGCAGCTGCTGGTGTGACCTTGGGTCAGTTATAAGTTCTTTCAGAGTTGTTCTCTCAAGAGCAGTTCTCAAAAGAGCTCTCTCAGACCCACCTACCTCACAGGGTGTCTATTGAGGGGAGGGGAAGGGAAAGGAGATTGTAAGCCGCTCTGAGACTCCTTTGAGTAGTGAAGGGTGGGGTATAAATCCAATTTCTTCTTCTTGAGACTGTCCTGACACCACCACCACCCTGCAGTATTTTTGGGAGTGCAGTGGGCTGAACCAGGAATGGGCCTATGGAAGGATCTGTTCCACCAGTGGACTTTCATAGTCCTTTGGATCCAACTCATTGTATGCATATTTATTTGTAAAGCAGTAAACCTTGAGTAATCTGTACATTTTTTTTTATAGAAGACTAAAGGCCAGTGTTCCTCTCAAGGAGGCAGTCACAGTGCTTGTAATTCTATTGACCTACAGATTTGACTGGGATTGCATGTGCCAGTTTTGTAAGCTACTTAGGGCTGATCCACATGCTATAAACTCCTTGGGGCCACTGAACAGTTACTAGATCACATGTGCACTGAGAGAATTATGCTTTAAGAACATAAGAGACGCCAATGTTCTAGGGGCACAGACTGTGTTGTGAATGGAGAGGGTTTCTGCCTCCTGCCCCTCTATACCATTTTCATGACCTGAATATCCCCAGGAAGTTATCATTTACCAGCGTGGTGTAGTGGTTAAAAGCTGCGGGCTCTAATCTTGAGAATCGGGTTTCTTCCACATAAAGTGGGTGACCATGGGCCAGTCACAGTTCTCTTAGAACTCTCTCAGCCCCACCTTCAAGGTGCCTGTTGTAGGGAGAGGAAGGGAAGGCAATTGTGAGCTGCTTTGAGATTCCTTAGGTTAGAGAAAAGCAGGATATGAAAACCACCTCTTCTTCTGTTGGATAACCTACTTGTAAGTTTCCCAGTGGTGCAAACAGTGGTTCATTAGGAAAATGGCATATGAGATGGGAGGGCTAAATTCCCTTCTTCATGTGTGCTAGAGCTCCAGTTAAAATGGGGGACACATACGCCTGGGAAGCATGGGACTCCCAGCACATGTGTGATTCAAAGTTCTTGTGGCAGCTACAAGGACTTTGTATTCTGTGAATAGGCCCTCGGTCTAGTGGTGATTTTAACCTAGCCATTTCCACTGACTGACTTTAGTACTTTGTCCTAAATCTGATAAAATAACTATATTTTGAATAGTTGATATGTGTGCTATGATTTGTGTCTTTGAAGATAAAAGTTGTAGATTATGAAGATAGACTACATCATTTTAATGCTCAACTGGTTGTTATACTCAGTCTTTACAAAATGGATGCAAGCAATACATGGAAGAACTCTCACTATTATTTATGTGTAGCCAGTCTTGGTCATTTCAGCTTTTTAGTGCTAGCACTCAGCCTTCTGACTAAAATTATGTTGTTGTCAAGTTGTTGTCTAATGACAAAGTGCTTAGCAGAAAATACTGAGCCAGAACAGTATACATTTGTATCTAAGTAGATACATCTGAAACAACAGGACATCTACCACTGATCTATCGGACTAGGACTTGTGTAATTAAACATCTGTTTAAAAGCTGTCTGTTTTGGTCTGAATATTATCCTTTTAATATTGACTGTACCTTAGCCAAGCAGTGATTTCTTAACTACTGTTGAAAGCATCAGTGAACAAAATCTTTTGAAATTAACCCCAGGCATCTTGATATTTTGCAATATGGAAAATCCCTTGTTAAATCAATAT